GACCACAAATGGATCCTGGGAACGGGGCTGGAAATGGGGAAAGATCCTGGGAACGGGACCACGAATGGATCCTGGGAACGGGGATGGATCCCACAGATCCCATATCCCATATCTGCTGGCACCACCATGCCCTGTTGCACTGATCCCATAGATCCCATATCCCACTGATCCCATATCCCACTGATCCTATATCCCATAGATCCGATGGATCCCACGGATCCCAGTGATCCCAGTGACCCCGCACCTGCTGGCACTGGCGGGCCCCATCGCGGGGATCCCATAGGTCCCATAGATCCCATAGATCACACAGATCCCATGGATCCCATAGATCCCATATCCCACAGATCCCAGTGATGCCGTACCTGCTGGCACTGGCGGGCCCCATCGCGCTGATCCCATGGATCCCATGGATCAATCCCATAGATCCCACAGATCCCACAGATCCCATAGATCCCATACCTGCTGGCACTGGCGGGCCCTGTCGCGCTGATCCCATATTCCATAGATCTCATAGATCCCATAGATCCCACAGATCCCATATCTCACAGATCCCATACCTGCTGGCACTGGCAGGCCCTGTTGTGCTGATCCCACAGATCCCATGGATCCCATATCCCCTGGATCCCATACCCCCGTACCTGCTGGCACTGGCGGGCCCCGTCGCGCTGATCCCATGGATCCCATGGATCCCAGTGATCCCACAGATCCCATATCTCACAGATCCCATACCTGCTGGCACTGGCAGGCCCTGTCGCGCTGATCCCACAGATCCCATGGATCCCATGGATCCCACAACTCCACGGATCCCATATTCCATACATCCTGTACCTGCTGGCACTGGCGGGCCCCGTCATGCTGATCCCAGAGATCCCATAGATCCCATGGATGGATCCCAGTGATCCCAGTGATCCCAGTGACCCCGTACCTGCTGGCACTGGCGAGCCCCGTCGCGCTCCCTCTGCAGGCGCCGCAGCTCGGCGGGGTCGGGGCGGTGCCCCCCGGGCACGCGATACCCCTCGGGCCGGGGGGCGCTGCACATCTCACAGCCCGGGCGGGTGGGCTTGTTCAGGAACGTGCACTGGGGGCACGGCCAGCCCTGGAACGGGAATGGGAACGGGGCTGGGATTGGGAATGGGATTGGGATTGGGAATGGGATTGGGATTGGGAACGGGGCACATCTCACAGCCCGGGCGGGTGGGCTTGTTCAGGAACGTGCACTGGGGGCACGGCCAGCCCTGGAACGGGAATGGGAACGGGGCTGGGATTGGGAATGGGATTGGGATTGGGAATGGGATTGGGATTGGGAATGCCGCTCCGCCTCCAGGGCCTGGAAATGGGGGAAAAACGGGGAAAATGGGAAAAATGGGAAAATGGGAAAATGGGAAAAACGGGGAAAATGGGAAAATGGGAAAATTGGGAAAAACAGGAAAAAACTGACAAAACCCAGAAAAAGGGAAAAATGGGAAAACCAGGAAAAAACAGGCAAAACCTGGAAAAATGGGAAAAATGGGAAAAATGGGAAAAATGGGGAAACCAGGAAAATCTGGCAAAACCCAGAAAAATGGGAAAAATGGGAAAAATGGGAAAAATGGGAAAAATGGGAAAAATGGGAAAAATGGGAAAAATGGGGTAAATGGCAGCGGCTGCGCCAGGTTCTGCTGCTGCTCTGCCTCCAGTGCCTGAGGAGAAATACAGGAAAAACAGGGAAAATGGGAAAAAAGGGGAAAAAAATTGGGAAAATGGGGAAAAGACCCAGGAAAAACGGGAAAAATGGGAAAAATGGGAGCAGCTGCTGGAAGTTCTGCTGCCGCTCCACCTCCAGTGCTGCCTGGGAAATGGGGAGTAGTGGGAAAAGGGGGGATCTGCGGGGTCTGGGGGGTCCAGGGGGGGTCCCAGGTCAGCCGAAGCCGGAGGAGAGGCAGAGGAATCCCTGTCCATGTCCCCCTGTCCCTGTCCCTGTCCCTGTCCCCATCCCTCTCCCTGTCCCCATCCCTGTCCCTGTCCCTGTCCCTGTCCCTGCCCCCATCCCTGTCCCTGTCCCTGTCCCTGTCCCTGCCCCCATCCCTGTCCCTGTCCCTGTCCCTGTCCCCCTGTCCATGTCCCCCTGTCCCCTGTCCATGTCCCCGTCCCTGCTGTGGCAGATCCAGGAGAGGGCAGAGGGCAGAGGGATCCCTCAGTGCCCCCGGGACCCCCGGGATCGCCTCTGGGGGTCTTGGAAGGGGGATGGATCCCGGGAATGGGACCACAAATGGATCCTGGGAACGGGGGTGGAAATGGGGAAACATCCCAGGAACGGGGATGGATCCCGGGAACGGGACCACGAATGGATCCTGGGAACGGGGATGGATCCCACAGATCCCATATCCCATATCTGCTGGCACCACCATGCCCTGTTGCACTGATCCCATAGATCCCATATCCCACTGATCCCATATCCCACTGATCCTATATCCCATAGATCCGATGGATCCCACGGATCCCAGTGATCCCAGTGACCCCGCACCTGCTGGCACTGGCGGGCCCCATCGCGGGGATCCCATAGGTCCCATAGATCCCATAGATCACACAGATCCCATGGATCCCATAGATCCCATATCCCACAGATCCCAGTGATGCCGTACCTGCTGGCACTGGCGGGCCCCATCGCGCTGATCCCATGGATCCCATGGATCAATCCCATAGATCCCACAGATCCCACAGATCCCATAGATCCCATACCTGCTGGCACTGGCGGGCCCTGTCGCGCTGATCCCATATTCCATAGATCTCATAGATCCCATAGATCCCACAGATCCCATATCTCACAGATCCCATACCTGCTGGCACTGGCAGGCCCTGTTGTGCTGATCCCACAGATCCCATGGATCCCATATCCCCTGGATCCCATACCCCCGTACCTGCTGGCACTGGCGGGGCCCGTCGCGCTGATCCCATGGATCCCATGGATCCCAGTGATCCCACAGATCCCATATCTCACAGATCCCATACCTGCTGGCACTGGCAGGCCCTGTCGCGCTGATCCCACAGATCCCATGGATCCCATGGATCCCACAACTCCACGGATCCCATATTCCATACATCCTGTACCTGCTGGCACTGGCGGGCCCCGTCATGCTGATCCCAGAGATCCCATAGATCCCATGGATGGATCCCACGGATCCCAGTGATCCCATAGATCCCATACCTGCTGGCACTGGCAGGCCCCGTCACGCTGATCCCACAGATCCCATAGATCCCATGGATGGATCCCAGTGATCCCAGTGATCCCAGTGACCCCGTACCTGCTGGCACTGGCGAGCCCCGTCGCGCTCCCTCTGCAGGCGCCGCAGCTCGGCGGGGTCGGGGCGGTGCCCCCCGGGCACGCGATACCCCTCGGGCCGGGGGGCGCTGCACATCTCACAGCCCGGGCGGGTGGGCTTGTTCAGGAACGTGCACTGGGGGCACGGCCAGCCCTGGGACGGGAATGGGATTGGGATTGAGAACGGCATTGGGATTGGGATTGGGAACGGGGCACATCTCACAGCCCGGGCACGTGGGCTTGTTCAGGAACGTGCACCGGGGGCACGGCCAGCCCTGGGACGGGAACGGGAACAGGATTGGGATTGGGAATGGGAACGGGATTGGGATTGGGAGGGAACGGGAATGGGAATGGGAACGGGATTGGGAATGGGATCGGGAATGGGAACGGGAATGGGAATGGGAATGGGAATGGGAACGGCATGGCGCTGGCCAAGTGAGCGGGAATGGGATCGGGATCGGGAATGGGAATGGGATTGGGAATGGGATCGGGAATGGGATCGGGAATGGGATTGGGAATGGGAATGGGAATGGGATTGGGAATGGGAACGGGAATGGGAATGGGAATGGGAACGGGAACGGGAACGGCATGGCCCTGGCCAAGTGAGTGGGAACGGGAACGGGATCGGGAATGGGAATGGGATCGGGAATGGGAACGGCATGGTGCTGGCCAAGTGAGCGGGAACGGGAATGGGAACGGGAATGGGATTGGGAATGGGGCTGGGAACGGGGCACACCTCACAGCCCGGGCGCGTGGGGGTGGGCAGTGCCCAGGGGCAGTGTCCACCCTGAAACACTGGGACTGGGATCAGGGACTGGGATTGGGGATCAGGATCAGGACCCCCCGTACCTGCTCAGGTGAGCGTGGGCGGGGTCAGGGGCCATGGGATCGGGATCAGGGATGGGGATCAGGATCAGGACCCCCATACCTGCTCAGGTGAGCGTGGGCGGGGCTCAGGGGCCGTGGGATCAGGATTAGGGATGGGGATCAGGATCAGGACCCCCATACCTGCTCAGGTGAGCGTGGGCGGGGCTCAGGGGCCGTGGGATCAGGATTAGGGATGGGGATCAGGATCAGGACCCCCATACCTGCTCAGGTGAGCGTGGGCGGGGCTCAGGGGCCGTGGGATCAGGATTAGGGATGGGGATCAGGATCAGGACCCCCATACCTGCTCAGGTGAGCGTGGGCGGGGCTCAGGGGCCGTGGGATCAGGATTAGGGATGGGGATCAGGATCAGGACCCCCATACCTGCTCAGGTGAGCGTGGGCGGGGCTCAGGGGCCGTGGGATCAGGATTAGGGATGGGGATCAGGATCAGGACCCCCATACCTGCTCAGGTGAGCGTGGGCGGGGCTCAGGGGCCGTGGGATCAGGATTAGGGATGGGGATCAGGATCAGGACCCCCATACCTGCTCAGGTGAGCGTGGGCGGGGCTCAGGGGCCGTGGGATCAGGATTAGGGATGGGGATCAGGATCAGGACCCCCATACCTGCTCAGGTGAGCGTGGGCGGGGCTCAGGGGCCGTGGGATCAGGATTAGGGATGGGGATCAGGATCAGGACCCCCATACCTGCTCAGGTGAGCGTGGGCGGGGCTCAGGGGCCGTGGGATCAGGATTAGGGATGGGGATCAGGATCAGGACCCCCATACCTGCTCAGGTGAGCGTGGGCGGGGCTCAGGGGCCGTGGGATCAGGATTAGGGATGGGGATCAGGATCAGGACCCCCATACCTGCTCAGGTGAGCGTGGGCGGGGCTCAGGGGCCGTGGGATCAGGATTAGGGATGGGGATCAGGATCAGGACCCCCATACCTGCTCAGGTGAGCGTGGGCGGGGCTCAGGGGCCGTGGGATCAGGATTAGGGATGGGGATCAGGATCAGGACCCCCATACCTGCTCAGGTGAGCGTGGGCGGGGCTCAGGGGCCGTGGGATCAGGATTAGGGATGGGGATCAGGATCAGGACCCCCATACCTGCTCAGGTGAGCGTGGGCGGGGCTCAGGGGCCGTGGGATCAGGATTAGGGATGGGGATCAGGATCAGGACCCCCATACCTGCTCAGGTGAGCGTGGGCGGGGCTCAGGGGCCGTGGGATCAGGATTAGGGATGGGGATCAGGATCAGGACCCCCATACCTGCTCAGGTGAGCGTGGGCGGGGCTCAGGGGCCGTGGGATCAGGATTAGGGATGGGGATCAGGATCAGGACCCCCATACCTGCTCAGGTGAGCGTGGGCGGGGCTCAGGGGCCGTGGGATCAGGATTAGGGATGGGGATCAGGATCAGGACCCCCATACCTGCTCAGGTGAGCGTGGGCGGGGCTCAGGGGCCGTGGGATCAGGATTAGGGATGGGGATCAGGATCAGGACCCCCATACCTGCTCAGGTGAGCGTGGGCGGGGCTCAGGGGCCGTGGGATCAGGATTAGGGATGGGGATCAGGATCAGGACCCCCATACCTGCTCAGGTGAGCGTGGGCGGGGCTCAGGGGCCGTGGGATCAGGATTAGGGATGGGGATCAGGATCAGGACCCCCATACCTGCTCAGGTGAGCGTGGGCGGGGCTCAGGGGCCGTGGGATCAGGATTAGGGATGGGGATCAGGATCAGGACCCCCATACCTGCTCAGGTGAGCGTGGGCGGGGCTCAGGGGCCGTGGGATCAGGATTAGGGATGGGGATCAGGATCAGGATCAGGAATTGGGATCAAGGACAGGATCAGGACCCCCCGTACCTGCTCAGGTGAGCGTGGGCGGGGCTCAGGGGCCGCGGGCGGGGCCCCGGCGCTGTCCCAGAGCTGCAGCGAGTCCAGGTGATCCCGGATGTCCCCGATGTCCATCCGCTCCGGGGGCTCCTCGGGGACACGGCCTGGGGACAGCCGGACACGGCGCGGGCTGGCACCGGGAACGGGAACGGAGAGGGACGGGGAGCGGGAGGAAGAGGATGGAGAAAAGGAGGAGGAAGGAGCAGGAGCGGAGGGGTGGGAACGAGGAGGAAGGAGCAGGAGCAGGCTGAGGATGGTGAGGATGGAGCAGGCTGAGGATGGTGATGAAGAAGGAGCAGGATGGTGATGAAGAAGGAGCAGGATGATGATGAAGGAGTAGGAACAGGAGCAGGCTGAGGATGGTGAGGATGGAGCAGGCTGAGAATGGTGATGAAGAAGGAGCAGGATAGCGATGAAGAAGGAGCAGGATGGTGATGAAGAAGGAGCAGGATGGAGATGAAGAAGGAGCAGGATGATGATGAAGGAGTAGGAACAGGAGCAGGCTGAGGATGGTGAGGATGGAGCAGGCTGAGAATGGTGATGAAGAAGGAGCAGGATAGCGATGAAGAAGGAGCAGGATGATGATGAAGGAGTAGGAACAGGAGCAGGCTGAGGATGGTGAGGAAGGAGCAGGATGAAGAAAAAGAAGCAGGCTGAGGATGATGATGAGGAAGGAACAGGTTGAGGAGGAAGGAGCAGGCTGAGGAGGAAGGAGCAGGCTGAGGATGACAATGCTGAGGAAGGAGCAGGCTTAGGATGATGATGATGATGCTGAGGAAGGAGCACGCTGAGGCTGAGGAGGAAGGAGCAGGCTGAGGAGGAAGGAGCAGGCTGAGGATGACAATGCTGAGGAAGGAGCAGGCTTAGGATGATGATGATGATGCTGAGGAAGGAGCACGCTGAGGCTGAGGAGGAAGGAGCAGGCTGAGGAGGAAGGAGCAGGCTGAGGATGACAATGCTGAGGAAGGAGCAGGCTTAGGATGATGATGATGATGCTGAGGAAGGAGCACGCTGAGGCTGAGGAGGAAGGAGCAGGCTGAGGAGGAAGGAGCAGGCTGAGGATGACAATGCTGAGGAAGGAGCAGGCTTAGGATGATGATGATGATGCTGAGGAAGGAGCACGCTGAGGCTGAGGAGGAAGGAGCAGGCTGAGGAGGAAGGAGCAGGCTGAGGATGATGATGCTGAGGAAGGAGCAGACTGAGGTTGATGAGGAGGAAGGAGCAAGCTGAGGATGATGAGGAAGGAGCAGGCTGAGGATGAAGATGCCGATGCTGAGGAAGGAGCGGGCTGAGCATGATGATGCTGATGATGAGGAAGGAGCAGGCTGAGGATGAGGATGCTGACGCTGAGGAAGGAGCAGGCTGAGGAGGAAGGAGCAGGCTGAGGATGAAGATGCCGATGCTGAGGAAGGAGCGGGCTGAGCATGATGATGCAAGAAGGAGCAGGATGATGATGAAGGAGTAGGAATGACGATGCTGAGGAAGGAGCAGGCTGAGGAGGAAGGAGCAGGCTGAGGATGATGGAGCAAGCTGAGGATGATGCTGACGCTGAGGAAGGAACATGCTGAGGATGATGACGATGCTGAGGAAGGAGCGGGCTGAGGATGACGATGCTGAGGAAGGAGCAGGCTGAGGAGGAAGGAGCAGGCTGAGGATGATGAGGAGGAAGGATCAGGCTGAGGATGATGACGATGCTGAGGAAGGAGCAGGCCGAGGATGATGCCGATGCTGAGGAAGGAGCGGGCTGGGGCAGGCTGCAGAGCCCGTACCTGCGCCAGGAGCGCTGTCCCCGTCCCCGCGTCCGTCCCCGTGTCCGTGCAGCCCCGCGGCGCGCAGCAGCCCCTGCACCTGCAGCTCCCGCAGCCGCTCGGGGCCCGGCGCCGGTTCCGGTGCCGGTTGCGGTGCCGGTTCCGCTCCCGGTGCCGGTGCGGAGAGCAGGAAGAGGAAGGCGGGGTCGCCGTGCCGGCGCACGCCGTAGGAGGCCAGGCTGCGCCCGTCCCGGCACAGGCTCTGCCCGATGATCCAGCGCTGCGCCGCGGGCGGGAACCCGTACTCCCGGAACACCTGGGGATCACGGGGATCATGGGGATCACATGGATCACACGGGGTCACATGGGATCACACGGGGAACCCATACTCCTGGAACACCTGGGGATCACAGGGATCACACGGGATCACATGGGATCTCACGGGATCACATGGGATCACAGGGGATCACAGGGGAACCTGTAGTCCCGGAACACCTGGGGATCACAGGGATCACAGGGATCACAGGGGATCACATGGGATCACACGGGATCACACAGGATCACATGGGATCACACGGGACACAGGGGAACCCGCACTCCCGGAACACCTGGGGATCATACGGGATCATATGGGATCGGGGGGGATCACATGGGATCGGGGGGATCCTGTACTCCCGGAACACCTGGGGATAGCAGGGATCACATGGGATCACAGGGGATCCCAGGGGATCACACGGGATCACACGGGATCCCGTACTCCCGGAACACCTGGGGGATCGAGGGGGATCCTGGAGATCTGAGGGGCACGGGAGGATCCCGTACTCATGGAACACCCGGGGGGACAGGAGAGATCCCACAGGGATTGGGGGGATCCTGTGTGATCGGGGGGGATCCCGGGGAACGGGGTCACGGGGGGAACCTGTGCTGGCAGAACACCTGGGGAGGGGGAGGAGAGCCCGGGATCGGGGGGGATCCCACGGGAGAGCAGGGAGAGCCTGGGGAGACCCCAGGGGAGCACCCCGAGAAAATCCCAGGGGACACCCCGGGGTGCTCCAAGGTGAGCCCTGGGTTAGATCCAGGGGAGATCCCAGGGGAGCACCCCGAGAAAAACACCAGGGGAGACCCCAGGGAGCTCCCAGGGGAGCCCCAGGTGAGGTGAGCCCTGGGTCAGATCCAGGGGAGATCCCAGGTGAGCACCCCGAGAAAATCCCAGGGGACACCCCGGGGACCTCCCAGGTGAGCCCCAGGTGAGCCCTGGGTTAGATCCAGGGGAGATCCCAGGGGAGAGCCCGGAGAAAAACCCCAGGTGAGCCCCAGGGGAGATCCCAGGGGAGAGCCCAGATGGGATCCCAGGTGAAATCCCAGGGGAAATCCCAGGGGAGATCCCAGGTGAGCCCCAGGTGAGGTGAGCCCTGGGTCTGATCCACGGGAGACCCCAGGGGAGCACCCCGAGAAAAACCCCAGGGGAGACCCAGGGCTGCTCCAAGGTGAGCCCTGGGTTAGATCGGGGAGATCCCAGGTGAGCACCCCAAGAAAATCCCAGGGGAGACCCCAGGGAGATCCCAGGTGAGCCCTGGATTAGACCCAGGGGAGATCCCAGGTGAGCACCCCGAGAAAAACCCCAGGGGAGATCCCAGGGGAGATCCCAGGTGAGCCCTGGGTCTGATCCAGGGGAGATCCCAGGTGAGCACCCCGAGAAAAACCCCAGGGGACACCCCGGGGAGCTCCCAGGTGAGCCCCAGGTGAGCCCTGGGTCTGATCCAGGGGAGACTCCAGGGGAGCCCCCGAGAAAATCCCAGGGGAGACCCCAGGGGAGACCCCGGGGAGCTCCCGGGGAGCTCCCAGGTGAGCCCTGGGTCAGATCCAGGGGAGATCCCAGGTGAGCCCTGGGTTAGACCCAAGGGAGATCCCAGGTGAGCACCCCGAGAAAATCCCAGGGGAGCCCCAGGGGAGATCCCAGGTGAGCCCTGGGTCAGATCCAGGGGAGATCCCAGGTGAGCCCTGGGTCTGATCCAGGGGAGATCCCAGGGGAGCACCCCGAGAAAAACCCCAGGGGAGACCCCGGGGAGCTCCAAGGTGAGCCCCAGGTGAGCCCTGGGTTAGATCCAGGGGAGAGCCCAGATGGGATCCCAGGTAAAATCCCAAGTAAAATCCCAGGTGAGATCCCAGGTGAGAACCCAGGGGAGATCCCAGGTGAGAACCCAGGGGAGCCCTAGGTTAGATCCAGGGGAGATCCCAGGTGAGATCCCAGGTAAAATCCCAAGTGATCCCAGGTGAAATCCCAGATGAGCCCTAGATTAGATCCAGGGGAGATCCCAGGTGAAATCCCAGGTGAGCCCTGGGTTAGATCCAGGGGAGATCCCAGGTGAAATCCCAGGTGAGCCCTGGGTCAGATCCAGGGGAGATCCCAGGTGAGCACCCCGAGAAAATCCCAGGGGACACCCCGGGGCCCTCCCAGGTGAGCCCCAGGTGAGCCCTGGGTTAGATCCAGGGGAGATCCCAGGTGAAATCCCAGGTGAGCCCTGGGTCAGATCCAGGGGAGATCCCAGGTATCCCAGGTGAGCCCTGGGGAGATCCCAGGTGAGATCCCAGGTGAGCCCTGGGTTAGATCCAGGAGAGATCCCAGGTGAGCCCTGGGTTAGATCCAGGAGAGATCCCAGGTGAAATCTCAGGTGAGATCCCAGGGGAGATCCCAGGAAAAATCCCAGGAGAGATCCCAGAAGGAATCTCAGGTGAGCCCCAGGTGAGCCCAGGGTTAGATCCAGGAGAGATCCCAGGAGAGATCCCAGAAGGAATCCCAGGTGAGCCCCAGGTGAGCCCAGGGATCCTGGTTCTACAGAGCAGGGGCTGGGCCAGCTCCCAGGGGACCCCATGTGACCCCACGTATCCCCAGGTGACCCCACATGACCCCACGTGACCCCAGGTGTCCCCACGTGACCCCACGTATCCCCAGGTGACCCCATGTGACCCCATGTGACCCCACGTATCCCCAGGTGACCCCATGTGACCCCATGTGACCCCACGTATCCCCAGGTGACCCCACATGACTCCAGGTGGCCCCAGGTGATCCACCGAATGACCCTGGATGACCCCAGGTGACTTCAGGTGATCCTCAGGTGACCCCATGTAACCCCAGGTGTCCCCAGGTATCCCCAGGTGTCCCCACGTATCCCCAGGTGTCCCCAGGTATCCCCAGGTGTCCCCACGTATCCCCAGGTGACCCCAGGTGATCCCCAGTCTCCCCCACTGACCCGGTGTCCCCACGTATCCCCAGGTGACCCCAGGTGATCCCCAGGTGTCCCCACGTATCCCCATGTGACCCCATGTGACCCCAGGTTACCCCAGGTGACCCCAGGTGTCCCCATGTGACCCCACGTGACCCCAGCTGTCCCCAGGTGATCTCCATGTGACCCCACATGACCCCAGGTGTCCCCACGTGACCCCACATGACCCCAGGTGTCCCCACGTGACCCCATGTAACCCCAGGTGTCCCCAGGTGTCCCCAGGTGCCCCCAGGTGTCCCCAGGTGATCCCCAGGTGTCCCCACATGACCCCATGTGATCCCACGTATCCCCACGTGTCCCCAGGTATCCCCAGGTGTCCCCACGTGTCCCCAGGTGACCCCACGTGACCCCGGGTGTCCCCAGGTGATCCCCAGGTGTCCCCATGTGACCCCACGTGACCCCAGCTGTCCCCACATGTCCCCAGGTGATCTCCATGTGACCCCACGTATCCCCAGATGACCCCAGGTGATCCCAGGTGTCCCCATGTGAGCCCACATATCCCCACATATCCTGGTGTCCCCAGGTGTCCCCACGTGGCCCCAGGTGTCCCCATGTGACCCCAAGTATCCCCAGCTGTCCCCAGGTGTCCTCATGTGACCCCAGCTGTCCCCAGGTGTCCCCAGGTGTCCCCGGGTGTCCCCAGGTGTCCCCAGGTGTCCCCGGGTGTCCCCGGGTGTCCCCAGGTGTCCCCATGTAACCCCATGTGACCCCAGGTGATCCCCAGGTGTCCCCATGTGACCCCGGGTGTCCCCAGGTGATCCCCACATGTCCCCAGGTAATCCCCATGTAACCCCACGTGTCTCCAGGTGTCCCCATGTGACCCCAGGCGCCCCCAGGTGTCCCCATGTGTCCCCAGAGGCCCCAGGTGTCCCCAGCTGTCCCCACCTATCCCCATGTGACCCCAGGTGATCCCCAGGTGTCCCCATGTGACCCCAGGCGCCCCCATGTGTCCCCAGGTGTCCCCAGGTGTCCCCATGTGTCCCCAGAGGCCCCAGGTGTCCCCAGCTGTCCCCACCTATCCCCACGTGTCCCCAGGTGTCCCCAGGTGTCCCCATGTGACCCCAGGCGCCCCCATGTGTCCCCAGGTGTCCCCAGGTGTCCCCATGTGTCCCCAGAGGCCCCAGGTGTCCCCAGCTGTCCCCACCTATCCCCACGTGTCCCCAGGTGTCTCCAGGTGTTCCCAGGTGTCCCCAGGTGTCCCCATATGTCCCCACATGACCCCATGTGACCCCAAGTGCCCCCATGTGTCCCCAGGTGTCCCCGGGTGACCCCAGCTGTCCCCAGGTGTCCCCAGCTGCCCCCATGTGTCCCCAGGTGACTCCAGGTGTCCCCGGGTGTCCCCATGTATCCCCACGTATCCCCCCAGGTGTCCCCACGTATCCCCAGGTGACCCCATGTGTCCCCATGTGACCCCAAGTATCCCCATGTGACCCCATGTGACCCCAGGTGTCCCCATATGTCCCCACATGACCCCAGGTGTCCCCATATGTCCCCAGGTGTCCCCATGTGTCCCCAGAGGCCCCAGGTGTCCCCAGCTGTCCCCACCTATCCCCACGTGTCCCCAGGTGTCTCCAGGTGTCCCCAGGTATCCCCAGCTGTCCCCAGGTGTCCCCAGGTGTCCCCATATGTCCCCACATGACCCCATGTGACCCCAGGTGCCCCCATGTGTCCCCAGGTGTCCCCGGGTGACCCCCCCACGTGTCCCCAGGTGACCCCACGTGACCCCGGGTGTCCCCAGGTGATCCCCAGGTGTCCCCATGTGACCCCACGTGTCCCCACGTATCCCCAGGTGTCCCCACGTGACCCCATGTAACCCCAGGTGTCCCCAGGTATCCCCATGTGACCCCAGGTGTCCCCATGTGACCCCACGTGACCCCAGCTGTCCCCACATGTCCCCAGGTGATCTCCATGTGACCCCACGTATCCCCAGATGACCCCAGGTGATCCCAGGTGTCCCCATGTGAGCCCACATATCCCCACATATCCTGGTGTCCCCAGGTGTCCCCACGTGGCCCCAGGTGTCCCCATGTGACCCCACGTGTCCCCACGTATCCCCAGGTGTCCCCACGTGACCCCATGTAACCCCAGGTGTCCCCAGGTATCCCCATGTGACCCCAGGTGTCCCCATGTGACCCCACGTGACCCCAGCTGTCCCCACATGTCCCCAGGTGATCTCCATGTGACCCCACGTATCCCCAGATGACCCCAGGTGATCCCAGGTGTCCCCATGTGAGCCCACATATCCCCACATATCCTGGTGTCCCCAGGTGTCCCCACGTGGCCCCAGGTGTCCCCATGTGACCCCAAGTATCCCCAGCTGTCCCCAGGTGTCCTCATGTGACCCCAGCTGTCCCCAGGTGTCCCCAGGTGTCCCCGGGTGTCCCCAGGTGTCCCCAGGTGTCCCCGGGTGTCCCCGGGTGTCCCCAGGTGTCCCCATGTAACCCCATGTGACCCCAGGTGATCCCCAGGTGTCCCCATGTGACCCCGGGTGTCCCCAGGTGATCCCCACATGTCCCCAGGTAATCCCCATGTAACCCCACGTGTCTCCAGGTGTCCCCATGTGACCCCAGGCGCCCCCAGGTGTCCCCATGTGTCCCCAGAGGCCCCAGGTGTCCCCAGCTGTCCCCACCTATCCCCACGTGTCCCCAGGTGTCTCCAGGTGTCCCCAGGTATCCCCAGCTGTCCCCAGGTGTCCCCAGGTGTCCCCATATGTCCCCAGGTGTCCCCATGTGTCCCCAGAGGCCCCAGGTGTCCCCAGCTGTCCCCACCTATCCCCACGTGTCCCCAGGTGTCTCCAGGTGTCCCCAGGTATCCCCAGCTGTCCCCAGGTGTCCCCAGGTGTCCCCATATGTCCCCACATGACCCCATGTGACCCCAGGTGCCCCCATGTGTCCCCAGGTGTCCCCGGGTGACCCCAGCTGTCCCCAGGTGTCCCCAGCTGCCCCCATGTGTCCCCAGGTGACTCCAGGTGTCCCCGGGTGTCCCCATGTATCCCCACGTATCCCCCCAGGTGTCCCCACGTATCCCCAGGTGACCCCATGTGTCCCCATGTGACCCCAAGTATCCCCATATGTCCCCACATGACCCCAGGTGTCCCCAGGTGCCCCCGGGCGCGGCGGTGCCGTACCTGCTCCTTGAGGGTGCCGATGGTGAGCTGGGGCCGCACCCGCAGGGTGATGCTGGCCGAGGACGTGGCGTCCTCCACCCCCACCGGCATGCTGGGGACGGCAGAGACGGTGGGGTTGGGATTTGGGGTTTGGGGTGGGGGATGTGGCATTTGGGGTTCGGGTACGGCACAGTGAGATAACATGATGATGATGACGAGGAAGGCAGGGACAAAGGATGGAGATGAAGATGAGGACAAGCGTGATGACGATGATGAAGAGGAAGGCAGGGACAGAGGATGGGGATGAGGATGAGGACAAGCGTGATGACGACGATGATGAGGAAGGCAGGGACAAAGGATGGGGATGAAGATGAGGACAAGCGTGACGACGATGATGATGATGAGGAAGGCAGAGCATGGGGATGAGGATGATGAGGATGAGAAAAGCAGGGGCAAATGAAGATGACCATGAGGATGATGAGGAATGCACAGAACAAGGATGAGGATGATGAGGGTGACGGTGATGACGAGGAAGGCAGAGGATGGGGATGAGGATGATGAGGGTGACGGTGATGATGACGAGGAAGGCAGAGGATGGGGATGAGGATGATGAGGGTGACGGTGACAAGGAAGGCAGAGAATGAGGATGACGAGGAAGGCAGGGGCAGAGGATGAGGATGAAGATGAGGAAAAGGGTGACGATGACAGTGATGATGATGATGATGATGGGGAAGGCAGAGAATGACGAGGGTGACGATGATGATGGTGAGGAAGGCAGAGGATGATAAGGGTGATGACGATGAGGGTGATGATGATGAGGGTGATGATGATGATGATGATGAGGAAAGCAGAGATTGAGGACGATGAGGAAGGCACGGGCAGAGCATGACGAGGGTGACGCTGACGATGATGAGTGAGGGTGACGGTGACAAGGAAGGCAGAGAATGAGGATGACGAGGAAGGCAGGGGCAGAGGATGAGGATGAAGATGAGGAAAAGGGTGACGATGACAGTGATGATGATGATGATGATGGGGAAGGCAGAGAATGACGAGGGTGACGATGATGATGATGAGGGTGATGATGATGAGGAAGGCAGACGCAGAGGATGACGAGGGTGACAATGACGATGAGGAGGGTGACAATGATGATGGTGAGAAAGGCAGAGGAAGGTGAGGGTGACAATGATGATGGTGAGGAAGGCAGAGAATGATGAGGGTGACACTGATGATGGTGAGGAAGGCAGAGATTGAGGACGATGAGGAAGGCTCGGGCAGAGCATGACGAGGGTGACACTGATGATGATGAGGGATACAATGATGATGGTGAGGAAGGCAGAGAATGATGAGGGTGACACTGATGATGGTGAGGAAGGCAGAGAATGATGAGGGTGACACTGATGATGGTGAGGAAGGCAGAGAATGATGAGGGTGACACTGATGATGGTGAGGAAGGCAGAGATTGAGGACGATGAGGAAGGCTCGGGCAGAGCATGACGAGGGTGACACTGATGATGATGAGGGATACAATGATGATGGTGAGGAAGGCAGAGGATGATGAGGGTGACAATGATGATGGTGAGGAAGGCACAGATGAGCACGATGAGGAAGGCACGGGCAGAGGATGACGAGGCAGACGCTGACGATGATGAGGATGACAATGATGATGATGAGGGTGACAATGATGACGATGAGGAAGGCAGAGGAAGATGAGGGTGACGATGAGGAGGAAAGCAGAGATTGAGGATGATGAGGAAGGCACAGGCACAGCACGACGAGGCAGACGCTGACGATGAGGAGGGTGACAATGATGAGGAAGGCAGAGATTGAGCACGATGAGGAAGGCACGGGCACAGCACGACGAGGCAGACGCTGACGATGAGGAGGGTGACAATGATGATGAGGAGGGTGACAATGACGATGAGGAAGGCACAGATGAGCACGATAAGGAAGGCACGGGCAGAGCATGAGGAGGGTGACAATGATGATGGTG